CAACTGTTGAGCACACGTGTAACTGTGGAGGGGAGCTTTATAGACCTGCAGATCTGTGCCTCTATTTTGGCATGTTTAACTAGAAATCCGTGCGCTGATGTACTTGGGAAGCTAGGGGAGGAACACTTGGAAACTTCTCTATATTCTTTCTACCCTCCAAAGCTAAAGTCTAGCAGAGCACAGGCAACCAGAGTCTTGTCGGGTATCGCACAATGCACGCTCCTTCTTTCCAGCCCCCCCCCCCTCTATTTAGCGACAAGAAGACACATCGTAATTCCTGTAACGGTAACGCGAGGGGGGGGGTGGAGAGCGGAGCATTTTGCACTCTTGCTCCCAATTGCTTGTTCGTTTCAATAGGTCTCACAAGCCTTGTGACTCTGCGAAATAGTGCAAGTGAACCTATTTGGGTGCAAGAGTTAACAGTTCTCACAAGGCGGTCTGTACAAGCATGAGTACGATTTGTTGTCCGTTCCAGCATCTCCCCCCCCCCCACCACATTATGGTGGGTACTGTTGTACTAGAATATGTCGAATTGTTGAAAACTATAATAGTGAAGATGAAAGTGTAGCAAAGTTTGTTCAGCATCTGCTAAAAACTAGAGTTTTCTATAATCTTGCGAATAGCAATTGATGTGACCACTTTTCAGCCCGAGCCGTCACCTCCACTACCTGCATGCCAGCCGTCTGCAGCCTCAATGAATGCCTGTTCATGTTCGAGTGAGACAGTACCGGTAGACGTGCCTCGTCCACCGCCACCGCTCTGCACCAGTACCAGTCTCGACACAATCGTGAGTTTTGGATTTTTAAAGGAGACGGACAAGACAATCGTATTTGCCGCGTCATCGTGCGACGATGTCGAACCAACTGGAGAATTTTCGAGAAAATTTGGAAGAATTCAGGAAAAGACTTGTAGGTATTGGGAAAGAGGGTCGTGCTGAGAATTTTGAAAAGGGAGGAGGAGACGTATTCTGCAAAGTTCCCCCAAAAGCAGGACGTGGCCTGCTTGAAAAGCACAAGGGCTAAGAAAAGGGGGGTTTCGGTGAAGTATGCTTTGACATAAATAACTATTCAGGTTAATCGTCCCCAGCCACTGCTTTATCGACACTCGGCTGGTGTGTCGCGGCGACAAAGTCGTGTATTGTCAACGCTGCAGTCGAAAAGGAAACGCAGTAATTCATTGACGAACTATCAGAAAACGTAAGTTTTTCAGATCATCGCTTTTCCTTTCAATACAATCATCAAGTTCCTGGATTTTTTTGCATGGGTTTTAAAAGAAAGTGTTCCGAGTTTTATCTTCTGTTTTGTAAGAAAAGCTCAGTTGCAGATTGAGTTTCTGACGCAGGTTAGCTTGAAGGGGCAGGGGGAATTTTGCTCGTTTCGATCGATCACGCCGATGCCTCCTGTGGGGCATGAACATCGATGCTTCTAACAGGATCTACATGTCTCGTCTAGAAGTGACGTGTAATTTAACCAGGAACTAGTAAAAGGAACTAGCAAAAATGCAGAATGCCCCTCCCAACCTGTACAGTGCCAAGTTGCCTTTGAGAATACCACAAAGAGGGGGTGGGCTGCATTGATTTCTTGTTGACTTTTCCAATTCACCACCTTTTTGATTGATAGTGTTAACTCTACGAAAAGTTAAGATTAACTTTGGATGAAAATTATGTTTACGATTGATTGTTTTGAGTTTTCTAATTTCCATTACGAGGATGTTTGCGACGCCTCTGGCAATCTAGACAAAATTGGCGAGTCCGTGGCTTCCGCTAATCAGAGGCATTAGGCTTAGGTGGAGATTGTCTCCATCTGCTGAGGGCTAATCCCCATGGCCGGGGCCCTGGTCGTCTGCGCTCTGAACCTGAGGCCTCGTATAGGAAAAGGGACACAGAGATGTGCCCGAACTAAAGGAGACGTAGCAAAGGAGACGTAGCGTGGGAGACGGCCAAGACAACCGTAATTTGTCGTGTCGTTCGCGAGGCATATCGTACGACCATGCGCGGCAAATTCTCGACGAGTGTCAGTTTTTCGATTGGAGCAGCGGAACTCGTTTGAATTCAGGCAGAGGCAAGATTCCATGTCAAAGCGATATCAGATTCTCCTGTTCTCCTAACACACGGCTAGCCAGGCAGGACAACTCGTCTGTCGGACGCGGCGTCGTTTGCCACGCCCACCAGCGCCGAACCACCTTGCTAGATTGGGTCTTAGTGCGAATGGTGCGCAACCACCCCGCT